CACAATATGCCATCTGCAAGCTTGAGAACCAAGAAAGCTGGTGGTGTAATTCAGTCCCAAGTGTGAAGGCCTGAGAACCAGACAAGCCAGTATACCAGACTGGTATAACTCCCAGTCTGGGGCCAATGGCTTGAGAAGGGGAAGGGGTTGGGCACCACTGGTACAAGTTCCAGAGTCCAAAGGCCCATGAACCAGGAGTTCCAATGTCAGAAGGCAGGAGAAGATGGATATACCAGTTAAGGAAAAAAGAGACAATCTGTCCTTTCTCTGTCTTTTTGTTCTATTTGGGCCTTCAACAGACTGGATGGTAACTGTCCACATTGGTAAGAATACACTTCTTTACTCAGTCTACTGACTCAAATGCTAATTGCTTCATGAACCCACTCACAGACATACCCAAAAATAATGTTTTACTGCCTACAGGCATCCCTTAGCTCAGTCAAGTTGACACATAAAATTAACCATCACGACATGGAGATTAAACAACACACTTTTAAATAACCAATGGGTCAAAGAAGAAATCACAAGGGAAATTAGAAAATATCTTGAGAAAAATGAAAATGAAAACACAACATACCAAAACTTATGGGATGAAGCAAAAGCAGTGCTAAGAGAATTTATATCATTAAATGTTTACATTAAAAAGAAGAAAGATCTCAGATCAACAACCTAACTTTACACCGCAGGAACTAGAAAAAGAACTAAGCCCCAAGTTAACAGAAGAAAGCAAATAACAAAGATCAAAGCTGAAACAAATGAAATGGAGACCAGAAAAACAATAGCAAAGACCAAGGAAACTAAGAGTTGTTTTTTTAACTTCAACAAAAATTGACAAATCATTAGCTAGATTAAGGGAAAAAAAGGAATGACTCAAAAAATGAAAATCAAAAATGAAAGGGGCTGTTACAACCAATACCACAGAAATAAAAAGGATTCTAAGTATACTATGAACAATTGCATGCCAACAAATTGTAAAACCTAGAAGAAATGGATAAATTCTAGAAATGGATAAATCAAAAAGAAAAGTCCAGGACTTGATGGCTTTACTGGAAATTCTACTACACATTAAAAGACGAATTAACACCAAATCCTCCTCAAACTTGTACAAAAATTTGAAAAGGAAACAACATCCCAAACTCATTCTGTGAAGTCATCATTACTCTATTACCGACAATACTGATTCCATCTTTGGCCCTCCATCTTGTTCATGTTTACTTGGTGACCTCTCTTGGAGTGACATATTCCAGACCCCCTGGAGATTAATATACATACCTTAGAAAGCCTGCTAAGGTCACGATAGCGGGGAGGCATGTTCTAGCCTCCCATGAATCTGTTAGCAATAACACAGTCTTTCTCTTACCTGACACACAGATGGTGCCACAGGATCTAATTAAAGGTTAGCTATCAATTAGGTGCATGCAAACCCTTTGAGGTGCATGTGAACCCTCTGATCTCACTGCACTGTCCTTCTTTGTGTCCCCTTGCTCTAATAAAATCTGTGGACTAAGGTCTGGATTTTGTGGAGAATAACTGTGCAGCTGCCATGGATCATCCTCTACCTGATCTCCCCCATCAGTAAGTTACCCTTAATAAAACTCTGTATAAACTGTACAGAGTCACCTCCTTTGTTTTCCAGTCTCAAAGTGCCTTCTCAATTTAGGAATACTTTGATGTCCCTCCCCCACTCTCTTAGCACCCTAGTACCAAAGCCAGACAAAGACACTAAGGAATAGACCAATATCTCTGATGAATGTTGATACAAAATTCTTAACAAAATACTACTAAACCAAATTCAGCAGCATATTAAAAAGACTATACTCCAAGTAATTTATTTCTGAAATGCAAGGACAGTTCAACCTACAAAAATAAATTGACTTAATACCACATTAACAGAATAAGGGACAGAAACTATACATTTCTCAATTGATACAGAAAAAGCATTTGGCAAAACTCAATACCCATTCATGATAGAAACTCAATAAACTAAATCTAGAAGGAAACTACCTTGACATAAAAAAGACCCATACTAAAATTATTAAAATCCCACAGCTAACATCATAGTCAATAGTGAAAAACTGAAAGCTTTTCCTCTACAATCATGAACAAGACAAGGATGCCCTCTTCTCTATTTCTTTTCAACACAGTACTGGAAGTCCCAGCCAGAGCAATTGGGAAATAAAATAAATAAAAGGCATCCAAATCAGAAACAGACTCTTAACTACAGAGAAGAAACTGATGATTGCCAGAGGGGAGGTAGGTGGGAGGATGGGTAAAATAGGTGATGGGGATTAAAGAGTGTGTTTGCTATGATGAGCACCGGGTGTTGTATGGAAGTGTTGAATCACTGTATAGTATACCTGAAACTAATATTACATTATATGTTAACTAACTGGAATTTAAATAAAAACTTAAAAAAAATTTTAGTGAATAACTTGTAAAGAAAATTTTAAAAACAATTCTGTTTACAAGAGCATCAAGAAAAATAAAAATTTTAGGAATAAACCTAAGGAGGTGAAAGACTTATACACTGAAAAGTAGAAAACACTGCTGAAAGAAAATAAACACAGTACTAAGTGAAAAAGCATCCCTTTTGTTTATGGGTTGTAGGATTTATTTTTAAAATGTCCATACATCCCAAAGGAATCTACAGATTCAATGTAATCTTATCAAAATCCCAATGACATATTTTACAGAAACAGAAAAACCCATCCTAAAATTCATATGGAATCTCAAGAGACCCTGAAGAATTAAAGTAATTTTGAGAAAGAATAAAGCTTAAGGACTCACACTTCATTTCAAAACTTACTACACAAAGCTACAGTAATCAAAACAATATAGTACTGGCATAAAAACAGACATATAGAATGATGGAATAAAACAGTCTAGAAATAAACTCTTACATATACGGTCAAATGATTTTCAACAAGGGTGCTGGGTCCATTCAGTGGGGGGAAGGAAAATCTTTTCAACAAATGGTGCTTGGAAAACTGGATATCCATATTTTAAAAAATGAAGTTGGACCTTTAACTTGTACCATATAGGAAAATTAACTCAAAATGTATCAAAGACCTAAATGTAAAACCTAAACTACAAAACTTTTAGGGAAAAAACAGGGAGAAAGTTTCATGACATTGGATTTGGCAATGGTTACCAAAAGTATAGGCAACAAAAGTAAAAATAAATTGGACTGCATCAAAATTTAAAACTTTTATTCATCAAAGGACACTATCAACAGAATAAAAAGGCAACCCATGAAATGGGAGAAAATACTTGAAAATCATATATCTGATAAGGGATTAATACCCAGAATATATAAAGTACTCCTAAAACTTGACAACAAAAATCAAACAACCTGATTCAAAAATGGGCAAATGGACTTGAATAGATATTTCACCAATGAAGATAAATAAATGGTCAATAAGGACATGAAAATATGTTCAACATCACTGATAATTATGGAAATGCAAAATCAAAACTATAATGAGTTATCACCTCATACCCATTAGAATGGCTATAATAATAATAAAAAAAAATACACCAAAATTACAAGTGTTGGCAAAGTTGTGGAAAAATTGGAGCACTGTTGGTAGGATTGTAAAATGGTGCAACCACAATGAAAACAACATGGTGGCTCATTAATTAAAAACAGTTGGGGCACCTGGCTGGCTCAGTTGGAGGAGCATGCGACTATTGATCCGGGGTTGTGAGTTTGAGCCCCACACTGGGTGTAGAGATTACTTAAATAAAACTTTACATTTAATTAAAGAAATTGCTTAATTAAGAAATTAAAAATAGAACTTACATATGATCCAGCAACCCCACTTATAGCTATATATCTAAAGGAATTATAATCAGGGTATCAAAAAGATATCTGCACACCCATATTCATAACAGAATTATTCACGATGGCCAAAGCTGGAAGCAATCCAAATTTCCATGGATGGACAAATGGATAAACAAAATGTGGTATATACATACAGTGGAATATCATTCAGCCTTAAAAAGGAAGGAAATCCTAAAACATGGATAAACCATGAGGACATTATGCAGAGGGAAATATGCCAGTCACATAAATGCAAATACTATCTGATACCACTTAAATGAAGTATCCAAAGTAGTCAGATTTATAGAAACAAAAAGCAAAATGGTGGTTACCAGGGCTTAGAGGAAGGGAAAGAGAAACAAATAGGGAGTTGTTTAATGGGTGTACAGTGTCAATTTTACAAGCAGAAAAAAATTTTGGAGATGTATTGCACAATAAGATGAATATACTTAATACTACTGAACTGCACACTTAGAAAATAGTTAACATTGTTAAAAAAAAAAAATACACACACATAGTGTGGTCCTAAGAGTTTTTGGCCTTTAATAAAGTTTATGTTTTTTCAGATATATTTTTCACAACTTCAACATGTTTCACAATTTTTCTAAACAATGCCCTAAGCTGCCAATTTTAAAGTTTGCTCTGTACATCTGTATGATGTGGGAACAGCAAACTCTCTATACACTTTAAAATTCCAATTAAGATGAGTAAATATTGGAAAAGATACATTCCTATAAAAGATACTTTCCTTTTTTGCTTTCAAATTGTGTTCTATATGTGGGATGTAAAATAATTCACTTCTATTTTCCAATATAATAAAGTATTCCAGTAGTTAACAACAACAAAAAATATTTGATTAATAAAATGCTGGTTAAAAACACTATGAATGGGGAAGTTATAAATGAATTTTTAAAATGTGAATTTGAAAACATTAATTCATTCAATTATCAAATGTGAACTTGAAAACATTAATTACTCAGTTATCAAATTCCCCTGGTTGAGCTAAGTGTCAGAAGGAGAGAAGTCATATAGGGAGTACGACTACAAGATTTACACTATATAGTTAACAAATTTTTAAAAAGTTTCATTGGGATATCTGGAAGTTTTCCTGTAATCATAAAGGAGTTAGCAGAAATCTTATTTGATTTTGACTCATACCTTGATCATTTTTTAACAGAACTCCTGGGGCCTTTGGACAGAGGAGATATGCTAAATGAAGCTTTTGTTGGCCTATCTTTAGTTCCTCAAGGAGAAGACACATTTCCAGATAACCTCCCTCCCTTTTGTTCAATCCATAAACATATTATTCAACAAAGAACACTGAATGTCTCTTCTAATAGGTAAGATACGTTGAATTGAGAAAAGTGCTCCACAGAGTGTTTAGTATTAAACAATTTAAATATTCCCTGTTGAAATGCAAACTAATACTTCAGCAAGAATATTTCAAAATGTCAAAGAAAAAAATGTGCATTTTCTCATGGCGATGACTTTGCAGTAGTTTGGTCATGCAAGAGCAGGTATGATGGAGGAAGAATTCAATGTAAACAGAATACTGTTAGAATGAATGTTATTCCAGGCCAAGATGAACATGAAATTACTATAACATATCAAATTCTATTTTTATTCTGTTGTTAAATTTTAGAATTGTTAATTATATTAAAATATTAATTTTTAGTATATTTAGTATGTTTAGTATATTTAGTTTGTAACTCATATGATTGTACTTATGCAACTTTGCCATTAGTTTCTGAAATCTGATAAATGATAATTTCACATATATCCAGCTGATTATATGGGTTATTGAGAAAATAAACAGGATAAATGTGAAATAAAAATACGAGACAAAGTAATATTATTTATAATGGTAATTATGTTAGTCACCATTATAATTTGCTCTGAAGCAAAGGTCAACAAACTTTTTGTGTAAAGCACCAGATATTAGGCTTTGTGGATCATACAGACTCTATCACAACACTCAACTCTGCCATTGTAGTATGAAAGCAGCCACAGACAATACATAAATAAATGAGAGTGGCTGTGTTACAATAAAACTTTATTTACAAAAACAGGCAGTGGGCAGGATCTGGCCCCCATTCTGCAGTTTACACACCTGCTCCTGAGGATCCCAACTATATGCAGTAATTGTGAAGAGGCCGTATTTTTTATATATATCATATGAAATATAGGTCATATATTTCATATCAATTATACATATATACTTATAATATCCTTGAGGAAAATGCTTCAAACTACATAGTTTAATTAATACTAAATAAAGGAGAATTTCCAGGTATGGCAGAGTTTAGAGGTGAGTAAATCTTCTCCCCAGAAAACAATTATAAAACTGGACAAAAATTACCATTTCAGAGCTCTGGAAATCAAATAGGGGCAAACAAGAATTTGATAAGAATTATTCATGAAAAAATGCTGAACTTCTAGTAATAAAGGGGAAATCTGATATTCAGGGGCTGCTCCCATCCTTTCTTGACCCCCAAGCTAGTTCAGCCTTGTGGTTCTACTAGGGTAGGACAGGCTGTGAAAAACAACAGCTGACTTGATCTGGAGCTTAGAGTGGAAAAACCCTGCCCAGCAGCATTATCAATAAAACAGCAAACTAACTGTCAGTAAAAGTAACAAATTTGATAGGAAATGAACAGGGAAAGCCATAGCTCTACTAGCCTGCTTAGGTCAAGTGACAGAACAGGAGACTAGCCAAAAATTTTTTAACAGGAAGATCTGGAATAAGAGAATCAGAGAGGGTCTAATTAAGCTCTCTACACATTCCTGATGGAGTCCTCTTATTTTTTGGCTCCCTTTTATCTTGTGGGACCCTAAATTTTCCCCTTTTGCTTCTTTCTTCCTTCACACCCAACTGTCAGAAGGTGCCTCTCTCTTTTTGCCTTTTTTTCACCCACCCATCTCCCCACCACAGAAACTGTGCATTTAAAAAACTACCCCTTCACACTGCATGGTGTAGTTCATGCTCTAATCTACAAGAACACCAGGATGTGGAGATCATGCCCTGGGATTTGGCATTTTTTCCATTTTATTTACAATTGTCTGGAAGTTCTCTTTCAAGTCATGCTGAAGGTGGGGCTTTCATGTAGTTTCTTTTCTTTTATTATGTTCTATATCATTTATAGAGGAAGTACTGAGAAGTGCAAAGGAAGGCAGCCAGTATTGTGTTCAACTAACTGGAAGTCCTACTTCTTTATTTACTTTTTTAAAAATGATTTTACTGGGGTATAATTTACATGCACCATAAAATCTGCCCCCTGTAAGTATACAATTCAATGATGTTTGCTAAATTTATAAAGTTATGCAACTACCACCAGAGTGGTTTTAGAACATTTCCATTGCCACAAAGTTCCCTTGTGCCAACTTACAGTGCATTCCCACTCCTACCTCCAGCCTGAGCCACTCACTGGTCTGCTTTCTGCCTCTAGAGGAAATTCATATAAATGAAATCCTATAGTCTGGAAACTTCATATAAATGAATTCATACAATATATTGTCTTTTGTGTCAGGCTTCTTTCACTTAGCATTATGGTTTCTGAGGTTCATACATGTTGTAGCATGTAGTTTATTCCTTTTTTGTTTCTGAATAGTATTCCATTGTATGAATATACCACATTTTGTTATTTGTTATTTGTTATTTGCTGGATATTTTTAATTACTTCCAGATTTGGGCTATTATGAATAATGTTGTTATAAATATTCACATATAAGTCTTCAAGGGGACATGTTTTCAATTCCCATGGGTAATATCTAGGAGTGGAATTTCTGGATCATATTTTAAGTTTATATTTATCTTGTTAGTTTTTAGAAACTACCAAATTGTTTTTCCAAAGTGACTATAACATTTTACATACCCATCAGCAATGTACAAGGGTTCCAGTTTCTCTATATCCTCACCTGTGGTTGGTATTGTCAGTCTTTTTGATTATAATCATTCTACTGGGTATAAAGTAGTATCTCATTATGATTTTAATTTGCATTTCCCTAATGACAAATGATGTTGAGCATTTTTATGTGATTATTAGCCATTAGTATATCTTCTTTGGTGAAATATCTATTCAAAACTCTGTCCATTTTTAAAATAATTTCTCTTATTATTGAATTATAAGACCTCTTTACATATTCTTAATTGTAATCAGATACATGATTGGCAAATATTTTCTCCCAGTCTGTGGCTTGCCCCTTCATTTCCCTAATCGTGTCTTTTGAAGTGCAAAAGTTTCAAATTTGGTAAAACCCAGCGTAGTTATGGTTTCTTTTATTGATTATGCTTTCGTTTTGTATAGAAGAAATTTTTTTCTAACTTAAAATCACAAAATTTTCTCTTATGTTTTCTTCTGGAAATGTTATAGCTTTAGCTTTTACACTCAAGTCCATGTTGAGTTCATTTTTATGTATGATGTGATATAAAGTGTCTAAGTTCATTATTTTGTACATGAAAATCCAGTTGCCTTTATACGTTTGTCAAAAATCAGTTGATCATAGGTGTAAAGATTTATTTCTGGACTTGACACTCTGTTCCATTGGTCTCTATATCTACTTTTACACAAACAAGTGCCAGACTTAGCTATACTGAGGGCTCCATGAACCAGAATCTCCCAAAATACATTCCAATACCACAAAAATAAACAGGAAATAGATGAACAGTTCTAGACAGTTACTTCAAAAAAACAGAAAATGAAACCAACACATACCAATTGAGAAAAATTCTCACCCCCCCCAAAACAACCATGAAATAGAAGAAAACTACAACACTCCATGCAAAATTAAATATATTCAAACAAGCAGCTGGGTACATAGAAATCCACTCTGAATTAGAAGGACAAAAACTAAGAGGAAGAGCTGGGGGTGGGAAAGGAGAAGTTCATTGCATTCAAGAAAGAAAAGAAAGAAAAATATCTTAAAATTGAAATATTACAAGGCACCCAAATGGGAATAAATTCAAATTGAAATTTAATAAGAGGCACTGAAAATGGCAGAAAACAAGACAATGAAAAGGAGATAAAGAAAAAAAAAAGACAAGGGAGAAAGTAATGGAAAGAGAAATAAGGCAAAGAAGTAAGAGCATTTGTACAATTTGATTCACTGGAAACAGAATTAATATTTAAAACTATAATCCAGGGAAATGTTTCAGAAATAAATATATTTTTTAAAAGATTTGGATTTACATATCAAAAGATTATACCAAGAAGCGCCTGGGTGGTGGCTGTTGAGCCTTCAGCTCAGGTCATGATCCCAGGGTCACATCAGGCTCCCTGCTCAGCAGGGAGTCTGCTTCTCCCTCTCCCCTCCCTCCCACTCATGCTCTCTCTCTTTCAAATAAATAAAATCTTAAAAAAAAAAATTATACCAAGTGCCTGAGAAAAATTATTATAAAAATCAGTTCAAAGACATATCTTAACAAAACTCTTAGATTTCAAAGATTAGTTTTAAAAATCTGCAAGGTCTCCTGGTAGAAAGATCAAATAACTTGCAAATGCAGAAGAATTAAACAAGCATCACCCTTTTCAAAAATAAAATACAAGGTAAGACAAAAGTAGAGCAGCGATTTTTAAAAACTCAATGAAAAGAAGTGTAAACTAATGATTTTATAGCTATCCACGCTCTCTTTCAAGTATCAAGGCTAAAGAGAAATAGTTTTCATGAACCCTTCTTGAGGAACATACTAAAGGAAGAGCTTCATCCAACCATGAGATAACTGGAAAAACTTCAGCAAAAGAACTAATTCTGAACACTTTAATACATATAAATGTAGACAGAAGACCAAAAAGGGGGCGCCTGGGTGGCTCAGTCAATTGAGCTACAGACTTTTGGTTTTGGCTTAGGTCATAACCTCAGGGTCCTGGAATCAAGCCCCGCCATGGGCTCTGCAGTGGGTATGGAGTCTGCTTAAGGATTTTCTCTCTCCCCTCCCCCTACTCACGCATACATCTGCGCATGCTCTGTCTCAAACAAATAAATAAATCCTAAAAAAAAAAAAAAAAAAGACCAAAACGGGAGAGTGGAGAGATGAATGTGGAAGACTTTTAAATAGAAATGATACAACTGAAAAAATGGGAGGGGAACAAAGAGTGAAAGAGAAAAGTAGAATAAGCTATGATTGTTGTATAGACATAGGTGGGAGTTAAAAGACAATAATAAACACTGATACATCAGATAATGAAAGGTTAACTAAGAAGAGACTAAGGGCATTAGAAAAAACATCAGTACAAAGGTAACCACTAAAACTAAAGCACAAACCTTCCCAAAAAAATACACCCACTTAAGAAATATAAGAATCACACCCACTTAAGAAATGTAAGCAAATAGTACAAAATTCACA